ACTCCCGGAGCAAGTAGTACGCTAGCCGGTAGGTATATAAGGCTCTTCACACATTACACCGCGGCGGCAGCGGCAACGGCCCACGCGGCGCGATTATAGATCAATTTCGCTTGATTAATTCGAACAGAATCTGTTATTTATTCTGTGACAGAACAGACAGTACCTTTGTTATCGCGACGCTTCTTTGTGTTCTGATTCGTCGTCGTAAAAAGAGGAAAACAAGAATTGTTTGGATCGATGCCTTTATATCCTCCAGGAAAAGTAACAGAAAGTTTTATTTCCGTACGAGCATTGATAAATTCGACCAAATATTAGAACGCGTCCACAACGATTTGCCGAAGAATGATACGAAAATGAGGGAATATAATTCACCTCCTTTAATGTTAATGGTGACATTAACGTAAGTAAAAAAGAAACTGTAGATATATAAACTGAATATATATATGTAAACTGAATATATTATGAAATCAAGTTTTATATAATTTACAGTAAGACACAAAGTTTTCATTTCACAGTAAGGCTTTGTGCCTATATGTAGTACTAGAGCTATATTAATTAAAATTGGTGGTAAATTGGTCGGACATTGGTGATGTGATCTGTGATAGAGAACTAGTAGAAGGCGTGCTCTGGCAACTATAGTATGTCGATGTATTACATCCAGTCTGATAGTCGTAATTAGATGTATCTTGCCATACTGATGTAGGGTATTGAATTTTTGTTACAGTTTGTAGAACTCTACTCTCAAACTGTAATATTTGTTGATCATTAAATTTTTCGAGACTTGCCTAAAGACTTTAAAAAAAAAGATAATTGTCCAGTTCTTTTTTTTTAAATGTTTAAAACTTCTGTTTCAATTTCAAAGTCATTTGGTTTGCGTTTGCGACGCGATGTGTTTGAAGTACTCGGTTCATTGATTTGTACTGAAGCTTGCGTTCATTAGGAGATTCTTCGCATTGTTCTCCTGCCTTTGTTGATTCAGTTTGGTTTTAGGATCTCGATATTTTCTTTTTGGATAGGTTTTTAGTATTATTTATCAATATACCTGTCTTTTTATATTGTCATTAAGTGAAAAGAGAGGGAGAGTAACTTTAAAAATCTCAAGTTGACTTTGATTTTTATGAATAATGCGTTTTTCCATCAACAATCTCTATCGAATTTTACTATTTACTACTGATTTAGGTGTGTAGTAGATGTTAGACATGAACATTGTCTTGACAATGTTAATTTTGGCAACGCCACTTAGGTTATTTAGGTCAGCTCAGGGGTTAAGCGCTCATGTCACGGAAGGAGGTTGCGGTGAGGGAGAGGGAAAGGATGGCAGATATCCCAATCCACAGCCGGAAAGTTGGGCCCCAGAGGAGAACATATCAGGCTCTCTTCCATCCCTCATAATTAAGGCTTAGGTGGCGTACCCGGGGGTTGTCCGTCGTCTTAACCGCTCAGGCTCCAATATTTCATTGGACCAACTTAGTTAGAACTATGGTATACCCAAAGAGTAATATAACTTAGGGTCATTTTGCTAATTAATATTACTATGTTCGTTCCAAAAATAAAAAATATTAACAATTAAAATATCGAATTTATTGTATGAAGGTCAAGTGAGCGCTAGAAAAACGACGGTTGCAAGAGGTGGTCAATAAATATAATGTTTTGAGAAGTTATCAATTACCGTGTAGTAGCGGTGTACGAATATCCATATCATCCCGTGGCTGCAGACTTGGGGAAAAGTGTTATTTTTAAATAACTGTGCCGCCGTTCCGGTTACTAAATAGTCACAATGAAAAATCATCGTGACTTTGTCACGTTTACCTAAGCTACGTGGCTATGTAATAAGTCCCTACCATCCTAATTATTATTTTTGAAATATACGAATTTCACCTAACCTAGCTGATTAGTCGATGTCGAATGTCGATGTACCGTCCCAGCCAGTACACGGTAGACATTGTTACTGTGTAAAAATATATAAAAAATTTACATTAGTCCTAAAACCTTCTCAGAAATGGGCCTGGACCCAGGAGTCGACGTAGTAGCCTGTACCTTACTTAAGTTATTCAGAGTATTGCTAAGGTGTTCCAACGATTCTGATAAATAGTAATACATATTTAATAAAAAAGTCATTAAAAGATATGATTATAACTAAATAATAACCAACAGCCTTCTGACTAAGATAGTTTGAAATTACAGAAATTATATATTAACTATCGATTTTCTAAAAAGCAAACTTCTAGTAAATTTTAGCAAATGAATTATAGAATAAAGTAAACTTTTATTTTGGCTATTATTTCTCATAAATTTATTTTTATGTGTGTAGTTTACTATAAAATGTTCAAATTACTGTTGCGTTTCGTGAAGGATAATAATTCTTGTGTATGTTATAATTATTACTTTATGTGACCGAACAAACATGGATGCGCTTAATCCTTTCTACCTTTCAATATATATTCGAATCTTCGAACAATTTTACTAAAGAGAAGCTGCGTTATAGTATGAGATACTCGAGAAATATATGCGATAAATCAAATGCCGTGCCGTGAAAACGTTAGCAAATACGTTTGTTGAATTCATTACATGGCTTTAGGTCGAAAAATATTAGTTTCAGCAAAACACATTTCGAATTATAATAGTTATTTTATTTATTTCAAAGCAATTTTTTACCTACTGGAAATAATAAAATATAAAAGTCGTATTATGTATTTGTAGGAAGGGTTTTATTATCGATTGTGGTTCCACACGCCTTGCCCCATTGACAATGCTGGCTGCCCGTCACCGATATGGGTATATTATGTCTGGTATAAACGAAATGTTTACACCGCCATGAAGAATCTGTAAGATTTTTTTGGTATTTCCCATACTTACAACACCCACGAAATTTATGAGGGGTTGGATCTTTATACGCCGCCACTATACGGCAAAGAGTTTGAAAGAAATAAAGATAAGACTGCTGCGTATATTTAGATGTCGAAACCATGCTCAACTTCTTCTTGATACGCACCCACACATTTATATTTCTTCGTTTTTACTTTATAGGTAAAGTTCACCAATGGGCGCAAAAAAATATGCACCTAAAACCATGTTGTTGGTTGCAAATGATTTTAGCTGCTTATGTGTACGTTTCTAATCCAAAACCCTAAGTTTTGGATTGGTTATCTCACTTGAAATGTATGCATTATTTGTTTATTTGTTGACCTGTGGGTTTTGAAAGCGAGATAAATATTTCAATTAATATTAGTGTCAAACTATTCTAACGAGAGGAGATCTATGACCAGCTGGTTTTTTTATAGGTTTGGGTGATAAACGAGCACACAGTCCACCTGATGGTAAGTGGTTGCTGCGGCCCATAGAAATCTACATCTATCCTCGATTACGAATCAAAATGCAGATACGTTATCACCCGTGAGGACTAAGATGGAATACCTCGTTTCCATTTAAAAGGGTCTCCGGTTTTCTACACTCACCATACGAAACACAGCAGCATTAAGCTACTATTTGACGCTGGTATTCTGTGAGAGCGTGGTCCGTCCCCGGTCGAGCCGTGCTACAACTATACTACTAATATAACTGCAGCATGGCTCTACCACGTGGTGGCATAATTATATTGTATATTGTTACTTTGCATTTTTAAATTAATTGTTATGTTGATTACATATAAGTAAAATAAAAGTCCCTACTTTTATTTTTGTTAATATAAGTATTTTACTTATTAAATACCTACATTTATATTAATTAGTCTGGTCATAAATAATGTTACAACTTAAATCACCGTAATTGTTAATTTGCATTATGGAGTGGGCGGAATTGCAGTAATGGTTTTGCACGAAGTGGGTATGGATTAGGATGCCGCGAATAAGCTGTCATTTTATGCTGGTATTCTACGAGAGCGGGGTTATTCCCCGGTGGAGCTGATACATTTTTGCTACAACTATAACATACCTGCGTACCACGTCAAAATAGATGGACAACATAACAGCAAAGCCTGATAACAACTCAAAATAACAAATCCGCTTGCCAAGTGTGGCAACTATGGCAAAATGAAGTAATATATTGGAGGCCTATGTTCAGCAGTGGATCTTTATAGACTGTAATAGAAGGATAGATAAAAGCTACTTTGAATATTAGCCGCTTAGACTTCAATAAATATGGACACACAAGTCATGTTGTAATTACACTGTATCTTTAAAAAATATATTATTTTAATATGTAACAAGATTTTTGGTCATAATTTATTTCAATTAAGTACTTAATTGTGCTGTCGTGTAATTTTGTCTTTAGTTAAATTGTTAAATAAAATAAAATACGAAATAATGAATTATCTATTATATAAAAATATATTTGTTTGTTGGTATTATATGCGCTGCCATACCGTTAATCAGATTGCGGTAAAACTTTGTCAACATATTATTGATTAGTTTTCCGCGAAGGTTATAGGTATAGTTGGAACCGGTAGGTGGCGCTGCTGTAGTGTCCAGATATCATCCGTGTAAACCAGGGTAGATCGCTAGTTATTTATAAAATAAAGTTTCGAAGAGCTTTTCATTGCTATACACTGCTGATAAGAAAAAATATTAACTTAAATTTATACCAAATTCCAGTTTTCTACACTAAATAATCTTTAAGATAACCGTCTGTTACCGACATACAGGCACAAAAGTGTTTATGAAATTACGAGTATACAGTTTTTGAGTAACAAACATAAGGAGTTAAGGTTAAAAGCTGTCATGTTACTTTTATTATTATTTAGGCCTGAACACAAGAATGCAATGGGAAAGTTATACATTAAAGACTGTTACACATCTGATTTATTATTTATGTTATAGATGGAAAATTACATAAATATTTTTTAATTTATGCTGTTCTATGCAAAAATTAGATAACGTCAAACCTAACACCTCGTATACCATTGATTTTTAATATAATAATTCTAACACAAATTTCGCATTAAATTGACGTTAAAAGAAAACACGTTAATACTTAGATTTTAATGAAATCTTATCTATACTGACCTACAGTACATGTAAAGGACCAGCATATTTCCTGAACAGCCTGCAGCTAACATGGTAATATAGATGCTTCCAAGTGTGTAGTGAATGACTGGAGGAGGTGGGGAAAACTGCAGCCAATGCGGATTTATTAGTAGCAGGTATTCATCTGTAAACAATCCATAGCGCCGCCACAAATGTACTGGCCACTGTTCTTTGAATTTTGCGATTATGGGTGATGAACTATTTGCGTTGTCTGTATCTATCTCTGGCGTACTTGACAAATTTCGAGTAAAAGTTTCATTAGTCGCATAGAAACTTCTTTTCAATCGTAAATTTTTGACATTTGCCTTTATCAAACGAACGATCACGTTTTTTATTTTTCTCCGTTTCTTCCACTGTTTCAACTTATCCAAGCATCGCCACAATAAATCAATGCGACATTTATGCGGTTTCCAATTTATTAATTGATTACAAATCGCGTGTCTCCAATTGTTTTCATTGTACACACGGCTTAATTCTTTAGGATATTTCACGCGAGGATTAGTGTTTATATTCACGCATCGTACGATTATAGGAATAAAAATTAGCACGACTTTTAATATCAGCGACATGTTATTTTCATTTCGTAAGTTAAATTTAGTGGAACGGAGGGGAAAGCATGAGTACAACCGCTCGCGGTGCTTTCCGAAACAAAGTGTTACCGAGATAGCCACAGACTCACGATCGTCGACCGTGGATACGGCAAAATATTTGGTTTATTCTGATACGTTTTCCTGCGCTTACATTTTCGTTTAAATAGCATAGCTCCGGTAGCTATCTTATTTATTTTTGTACGTTTAATATATTTTCATTTATTTAAGAACTCCACATTAAAAACGCAAATGCAGATCTAAGAATAATATGTGGTTCTACAAACAGTTCTCTAGTTTGTTGTTGTTCCATTTTCGTAGAATTATTTTAATGAAACTACTATAATTGAAATAAGTATTGACTGTAACATTTGCAGTAATCTTTATAACAATTTTATTGAGTTTGATTCGACTTTTATTGATTGATTGATAGTTAAAATTTCGTAAAACTTTCTTTAGGGAATTATTAGTTATTTTTTAATGCTTTATAAGTTTCTTCATTTTCAGAATGAAATATATTTAAAATGAAAGAGCCACGAGAGCTCTAGGAGTTTACTATTAATTCGAATTCGAGTCTATCAGATTTTTTAAATGATATTCAGTGATTTTTCAAGTTCTAAGCCCACTTGACTTACGTAGTTAAAACACCCTGAGAAAATTTGCACGTCGCGTCGGAGAAAATACAAATATTTTGAAGTAAATATCATAATTAACGGAGGCTACTTTCAACTTTTAAATAAGTATTTTTGGTCGGATCTAACGTGCCTATGTTTAAGTCTTCGAAGTGTTTGGATTTGGATTTAATTTTATTTATTGTGGGATAACAGGCAGATGGTAACACCCAGCCATCATCTCTACTGAAATAAAGATTTTTTAATTTAAATAGCCTCTCAAAGCATCCTTGGTAGGAATCGGTATTTTTTTGTAAATACTTGCGGTCTATCGAATCGAATACTGTAGACTTTCCTTTAAAAATTATCTCTCAGTAGTGATAGAATCTATTTGTATAAAACATAAAAAAATGTTTCTACCTATGTCCGTTATAGACATTGAAAACATCCAACTGATTTTAATGATTTTTTCGTGTGTGTTTGAATGGATCTCTAGATGGTTTATAACCACATTTGGACCCAGTAGTTGGCGCTGTTGTCGAGATCCGGCAAGCACCCGGGTGAAGCCAGGGCCGATTGTTAGTTGTCATTAGAAGTGAGACATTTATAAACTACTATACTTTTTATATACTTAATATATATAAAAAGTAATAGCTTATAAATGTATAATAATACTGGCGTAAAATTTTTAAGACATTAAAATTGTTCGTCAATCTTATTTATAAAAATTAATATTTGTTTTTTCGTATTTTATACGCTGCCACACCGTTCATCAGATTGTGCAAAAAATTTGTCAACATATTGCTTGTACTTTTGAGAAGGTTATAGGCATAGTTGGATCCGGTTGTAGAAACCAGATATCACACGTGCGAAGCCGCGGCCGACTGCTAGTATAGTATAAAGATTTATTTTATATTAAGTTATAGCCATCATTTGGTAACCTTTCATGATGTAAATTTACTGACGAGAACTGACCAAAGCGAGACAAATATGAACTTATTTTTTATTACATTATAAGTGAAAATTATACAATTAGATAATTATAGCCCAGCCTAGCGGTCCTGGAGTACCTTTCCGCTGAAGGTCTCGAGTTGGCTGGTAACGCTGCTCGGGACAATACCAGACTAGAATCATACCGCGACATCTTCAGCTTGCCATCCGCAACGACGAAGAGTTGAACAAGCTCCTCTCCGGAGTGACGATCGCCCAGGGCGGTGTATAACCAACATTCAGGCGGTCCTTCTGCCCAAGAAGACCGAGAGGAAGGCCTACACCCTACACGAGTGTACCCCTGGTTACCATACTACTAGGCCCAAGGAAAACGGGTGGTTGAACATTAGATCAGAGAATGCGTCGACGTTGTCGGTAATGAATGCTCTAATTGTACTACGTACGTACTGGATATTCTGTTTTACACACTTAGTATAATGGTGCATTCGCCGTCCATCGACTCTTCTCTACCGATCATGGTACTTGATTAAAAGATCCTTTTGAGGGCCATAAATGCAATCGATAACTTATAAATTCAGTCTCTCAGAATCTAAATTAGATTAGATTCTGATTCCCCCCCCCCCCCCCCTAGTTCCTCCTGTTCCTTTTTGTATGCTCTCATTGTTTTTTTTCTTCTATTGCTTGCAGCCTTCTTGTTAAATACCGCTCAATTATTATTAATAAATGGTTCCTATCTTTGGATGTCTAGTTTCATCGATGCCATTAGTGAATAGACGCAGTAATAAATATAATATATGAATTATAAATTTACATACAATACATTATCAGAATCAATTAATTATTTATGTATATTAATTTATAAAACATTCAATGATGATTAATTATTTCATTATATAAAACGTCAAATATCTATAGATACTACATATACATAAGCTATTTGAACGCATCCGCTTGATCTTCAACCGCATGAGCACCATAACATTTAGTTATTTCTATAATATTTGTATAAAATGTCACAAATGATTATAATTAGAAAAAAAAACATATAATGACTATGGGATTTTTGGACATAGAGATTTGATAAAATCAAATAATTTGACTAAGAGTTTATGGTGTTTTCAAAAACAGTACAAAAGCATGTGTTAGAAATTATACAAATGGACTAATAGAAAATGAAGATCTTTAACTTGATGTTTTGTTAGTGCATAAAATCCTAAGTGTACTTAGGGACTTCTTGAACTGGTATACTAGTAGATAGGTAGTACCAGCCAGAAGTGGCTCACTAAGTCAGAAGTGGTACAACGTCCGTCGACTCCCGATCCTAAAAAAAAAAGGTTTTGGCATACTCTGATCACGAATCTGCTCCTGAGATGTGCAGATCAAATAACTCTTATTTAATTGATATCCGGTGAGGGCCTCCACCGTCATTAGCGCCCCATTGTTCTTATTTATTTATCTATTGTTCATTGAATACCGTCATTGTCTATTTTTCCTCGGCGTATGCGTCGGCTTATCACTGCTATTTTATTATACTTCTTTGTTCCTATCTACAACGCTAATCTGAATCATCAATAAAAAACATTACCTAATTTTGTTACAATTTTTATTTACAAAATATAAAATCTTATTACTTATTGTGTATCTCATCCACTAAAATATCATTGTACAATGTGTTCCCTGTAAATATACTCGTAAAACTATGAATTGAACATCCCTGAAATGTATATAGCAAATACATTGAGCAATATTCGCCACAAACTGAAGTCCACTCATTCTGAATCCTATCAAAATTCCAGTTCCATCTTTTACAATTCCTTTTTAAAAACTCTAGATGATATCGTACAGGTGATCGTCCATATGAATCAAAATGTTGACCGACGTCATTCGTATTGATATATAAAGCTACCCAACGTGACCCTGGTTTATCATCTGTATCCAAATTGCATATTATATACGTTGCTACGTGGGTATACATGGGCAGTCTATTAGCAGCATAAACATTATTTTCTAGACTGGGGTGAATCTTTTTCAGATGTTGTTGTACATCTAGTGTATCCATGATATTACTGCTATTAGTATATTATTACAGTACTAATCTACTCAATGACTAACATAGGAATGATCAATTATAGTGATTTATAAATATTAAATTGCATTCTTTTGTGTTATACAAATCGTATTAGAGTCATCAATACACTGAACAAGACGCAATACGAAGGAATGTTGAGATAAGCAACAGAACGTGAGATAAGCTTGTTGACGCATAAAGTTACTCGTACTATTAGTTCCACTGCAGAAATTCTTTAGATTAGAATTATTACTTACAGGTACTATATAAGACCGAGCAGCTGCAGTCATGGAGTTAGTGTATGGTTGTTTGACCGCAGTGGATCTATTAATACTACATTTGTGTTACTTCAACGCATCAAAGGCCATAGATGTAAGTGTTTATTCTATTGACAAACTTACTTTTCTTTCTGTTATTTTCTTACGTGTGTATGATTTAGTGTTAACAAATTATATTTAAATATTATGTGTATATATGATTAAGCCGTGGTAGCTCAGATGGTTAGCGCAAGCTGTAAATTTCAAAGTATGCGACCCGGGTTCGAACCCCGCCGGCACAATTAAATTGTTAATTGCAATTTTAAGTGCTGATTTACCACGTGCTCGGCGGTGAAGGAAAACATCGTGAGGAAACCTGCATGTCTGAGAAAATTTCGAAGGCATGTGAAGTTTGCCAACACGCATTGAGGCAGTACGGCGGACATTTCCTAGCCCTGAATACAAAGACAATAGCAGAAAGTGAAAAAGTTAAAAAATACTTTTTTAACAATGGCAGTCATTAGTTGATCATTAGTGAATGTGATTCTGTTTACTTAA